GCGCATGAGTACGTTGTGTTTGGTTGATTTGGCTGGTTCGGAGCGTATTTCTCGGAGTCAAGTGGAAGGCGAACGCTTACGGGAGACGCAGCACATTAACAAGTCCCTGGCAGCGCTTGGAGACGTAGTTTACGCGCTGCAGCACAAGGCGAAGCACACACCGTACCGGAATTCTAAGCTCACATACATGCTACGAGACATGCTGTCTGGACAAGCGAAAACACTGTTGATGCTGCAGTTGAGTCCCAATACAGCAGACGTGGAGGAGACGACGTGCTCTTTGCAGTTTGGTGCTCGTGTAAGCCAAGTGCAGATGGGTGCTGTGAAGCCTAGTGTGGAGAGTGGCGCGCTTTTCAAGTTGCAAGAAGTGAACCGTGCACTCGAAGCGAAGACGCAGGCGATGGAAGCACAATTGAACGATTTGCAGCGACAATGCCAACAGCAAGGAGATGAGTTACATGAAGCCCACAGCAGTAAGGAGGCATTAGAGCGACAGTTGTGGCTCCTCGGTGGTCGACAGCGTGATGGTAAGTCTTCCGATGAGCTGGAACAGGACGACTTTACTCCAGAGGCTCGATCTCCGTCACCGTCTCGGCCCCCAAGCCCGACTCCTTCCGCCAAATCTAGTCGCAGTGTTTCATCCACGACCTCAGCACGTTCGGCTCGCTCTATTCGCTCGCGATCTGCGCAGTCCACGACTTCGACGTCCCAACGACCTACTACTCGAAGATCACAGACGTCGTCATCGTCCAGACTATCAGGGACTCCTCGAACTGCCCCTGCCTCTGGATCTTTGACTCCTTCACCGGTGTCTCGACTTCGACGTCCGGAATCGATAGTTGAGCGCGAGGACCGACGCAAGTCGCTATCTGCAGCGTCTCGGGATAGGATCGTGGACCCGGATCTACGTCGCAAGTCGCTGTCTGCAACGAGCCCTATCAGAATTGCTGACCGCGATAATCGTCGTAATTCGTTGTCAACGCTTCAGACACGCTCGATGTCCGGGTTGGCAACACCTCGGTCTTTAAGAACGAAGGAAGCCGCGTCGCCTGAGAGTCGAGTGCCACTGCACCCTCCTTCAAGGACAAGACCAGCAGGGTCACCCGCCCCTGCTAGACAGAGTGCATCGGCTAGTCGGCTATCAAGACCGCGGTCTGCTAAGACGTTGGGGTCATCTACGCCTCCGGCGTCTTCTCCATCTTCGAATTCATCGTCAGAAAGCAAACCTGCCTCACGCACTCTGCATCGAGCATCCTCAACTCCGTCGAGATCTCCGTCAAGAACGTCGACGAGAACGTCAAGCAGAGCCTCAGCGATGCCGAAGTCTGACAACGAGCGCCGCTCCTCTTTGAACAATACCCGCAGTTCACCATCGTCCACTCCAGGCACTTCACGGCGAGCGCTTGCCAGCTCGCAGTCGGGCTTTGGATGGAAATAAGGGACGAGCGTAGATACTTTTTACTTCTCCTGATCGCAAGGAACAACGCATCCTCGTACTGTTGATAACCATAATTTACAATTGCCAGAGTTTTGAGTGTTATTGCTTCCTCTGCTTTCGCCAAAGTTCGCGAGGATACAATATGCGGCTTAGTGGCTGTCATCGCGTGCAGCTTGATGTTAGTGCTGAACTGAGCTCCACACAAAAAACAGTTCCTCTTCAATCGGCCTCTCGAATTGGATGCCAATAACCTGCCGTACCCCCGTCACGCAGACACGAGTTCATCGCCCGACCGCACTCTCTCATCACCTGGTCCAAGTCCTGATCGAACGGATTAAACATGCACGCATCCCATACTGTTGATATATTCCCCCC